ATTGGTAAGAATATATCCCACAACAGATTGATAAATAGCAAGAAAAAGACGTGATTGTTTACATTAAGAAATTTCATTGATGCAAAAGAAAATAATGTTTGCTGTTACATGGTCTATAAAGTACAGGTATACTAAAAATCTCTAATACATTTAGTATTTTGAATGTAAGATCAATATCAGTGTGCTTAAATGACTCTAATAATATTGTCTTAAAAACATTCTTTTCCCTTTAGGCAATTACATTGTTAGCAAAAGTTAATGCTGAAGATATATGTCTAATCATTAACATTACACAATAATATCACTGAGCAATATTTTATACTAATTTACATGTACCATCAAAAAATGTTTGTATACTTAAGATGTTATACAATTGCACTGGTCATGTGTTTTACATTAATAATCTAGAATTTTTATCAATGCAAATAACTATAGTTGGACATAGAAAAAACTGTGTCTTTTAATGTATTACAAGTAAATAATACCAAAAAGACTAAAAGGAAAAAATCTGGTCTCCCCTAATTATAATGAGATATTTCATTGTTATGTAATGCTCCTTGTTACCATAACAACAAAATATCTCAGTTTTTTTCAAATATAGGTGATAAGGAGATGTCACCAATAAATATATAAAATCAGTATTTTAAATAACAGATTTATCAATAATATTGATGAAATAAGAAGCATAAGATATGAGATATTTTACATATGGAATAAAGCTTTATTTTTGTTTTAACTCTTACTATACAAGACATGAACCAAAGTGCATGTTATTGAGTTTTTATTTCATATTTTGTCCATTAAATTTGTGTTTGTGTGCACGCATACAAATATTGCTATATAACACTTGTTTATATTCTTCCTATATATAATTATTTTATAACTTTATAATATCATTGGATTACAATTTGAAAATCCATAAAATTTTGCAAAGAGAGGATTCAAAAAACATTTTAAAAATCTCCCAAATTAATGTAATTCACACAAAATATATTTCTAAAATAATGAAGATTCAATCTAAGAAATCATTCATCGTATATTTTAAATATTTCAACTAAGAAATTTCTCATAATTCTTGAAATGATGTTTTATGAACTTGTTATGCTTTTGTTGTTAAAAACCAGCCTTTGCTTGAAGCAAAATTCATTAATCAGTTGATATATTTTGGTGAGATTTTTGTTGTTTTAAATATTTATTTTTAACTAGTCTATTCATCTAGAAAAACAAAAGAATAAGAAAAAAAATATATGCATGCATTTATGCATGTGCACAAACATGCACACAAGGTGCAGCTGGTAATCAATAACAAATCAGGAAAAACAGAAATATTCAAAGTCTTCTATGTGCCATGTTCCTTCAGGATGAATACGATTATGGCACTCCACAACTTTCTATCCTTTGTAGCTCTTAGTAAGGTTTGATTTTTGCTCTCTTAATCCCTATTCTGTTAACCATTTCTACTAGCTCATTCACAAAGTTATTCACTGTCTTCATAAAAGTTTTTTTTAAAAATATGTATAAAGGTTCAAGTTAGAAAAATAAAGATTGGTCTTGACATGATCTTGAGTAACTGCATGCCTATATGAAGTGGTTCTTCTTCATGATGGTTATTATTGTCCACAATGGTGGGATTTAACAAAACCTTGGCATTGTGGGGTTACTGATTGTTTTGATGACATCCTCACAGGTCACTTTAAATAGTTCTAGAGATAATGAAAGAGGCCATCATATTAGCTGTCATGAATGAGCAAGCTCCTAGATTGATACCAGAAACTTTGAAAAGAAGAATGGGCAAAGAGACACATACACATGTTGCTGTATCACCATCACAGTCATAAATGAGCAATATGGAATTCAGACGACTGCATACCACTTTCAAGCATTGGGGAATGAAAATCACTAGTTTGAAATACTTATCTAACCACCAAGTTTTGTAAAAAAAAAACTCAAGATATTCTGGTTCATTCCAAAACTTTGATCAATTGATTGATTTGTTTTCTACAGGTTATCAAACCTTTGCAGGTTATTTAAAGCCATAAAATATTTTTAAATTGTAAGAACTTTTTTTGGAGCAGGGAGATAATAATGATTTAGTGATACAAGTCTTACTACTCAACCCATAATTAGGTGGGGAGAGGTGAATTCATACCTTTTCCACAGGTAATTGCACATAATGTAATGAACCAACTGGAATTGGAACTCAACTCTCCAATTAACAATTTGTTTAACAAGTTGTTTAAATTCAGTGATCATATGAGAACCGGTGTTTCAATGTGATGTGGTCATAAGCTTCAATTTCAGGAATCTAACTTTAGTTTTGTATGATACATGGTTGAATTGAGATGTTTCAACCCAAATCTTGAGTTTCTTGTCCTATCTAAATACACATATGGAGGAGCCTCCTGTTCTAGATATCACAAGAACAGTGACCAGGACAAATGGCTGGTTCTCCCAGCCATAGTGCTCCATTTGGGATTGTACAAAAATTCTTGGCCTTTAGAGGTTATCACAGAAAAACAAACACATTTAGTGACTGGAATAACAAGCTCATCCTCAGCTCTAGTGCTACAGTAGTAGTCCATTGGATTCAACTCTGAAGAACTAGGAAGCCATATCTGAAGTATTATGGATCATGAGGGATGTAGCAGCTACTGCCTTGATCCAGGGACTTGATAACCATATCCAGCACCTTGATATAGACAATGGCATTGATCCTGAGGACCTGTCAGGGCAGCATGACATTTGTCTCATTGCTCAGAATCCCCAGGATCCTCATACTCACAGATGATGATGTAGAATTTATATACATCACCATGGATACCTCTTTTCATTCTATACAGAGCCACCTGTCATTACTCCTGTTCACTTAAAAAATTGTCTTTCTCTAAGCCAGGTTGGTTGGTAGCTAAGTGCCATGTGAATGGTATGCCTTTTCATTTCCTATACTATATTGGAAACTGCTATGTCAATGCTCCTGATATGTCTAAAAGAGAAATGATAAAATTAAAATTTGGTGCTTGCCATCTAAGATTGCATTTGGCCAGCTTCCATTTATGGCCTGCAAAAGATGTGTTCTCAAATACATGTCGCATCTTTTTCTCTGTGTATGTGTGCATATATATAATTGTATTGTTTAAAACTTGTTATATTTATAGGGAAAGAGCATCTGTAGATATAAACAGTGCAGACACAGAAATCAACACAGCATGGTGACTGTCAATTTCATACCTTAAGGAATCATCAGACACATGGTCAGATGATCACTCACTTAAGGTGTGATATTAACAGTCACCATGCAATGTTGAATTCTATGTCTACAATTCTTCCTTTTATATAACAGAGAATCTGAAAATTTTTCTATCTGGGCAAAAAGTTCTTCCCTACAAAATCTGTTTGGTGAGGATCTGAGAAGTGAGTTGAGCTAAGAAATTTAAGCACCAACCTCGTGTGTGTGTTTGAGAGAGAGAGAGAAAGATTGACAAATATATATATCTTGCTCAACTCTCTCCAGGCTATAACAATGATTTAAAAAAATAGTTCAGCATAGTAATTGTTAATGCACTAATTTGATGATATTTGGTTGGGATAAACAAAAATCCTTAATACTTTTTAACTGATTTTATTATGATTATCAATATTGTTTATACAAACTTCACATGAAAAAAAAATCCTTTTCCAAACATTGTCCATTAGTAAATAATATATTAAGTCAATGATATTATCATTTTAGTGATAACAGCATTACTCAGTATTTTTTACTTGATGACATAAGATCAATCACATTGTTTTCATTTAAGAAATGTCTGTATTGCACAATATTATATCAATACTATTGATTATATAAGAGCATAAATTGTCAATAAAAGAAAAACATACAAACCTCATTTTTCTGCTTTGATTTTAGAGCTTATGGAGTTATTTCTGCTCTGAGACATTCTGTCATAGCTCATACTTTGATTCTAACAAATTCATAATTCACAAGGAAATTTTCCTTTTGATTCCTGGAGAATATTGATTCACAGAGTGCCAAATTGATTCAGAAGATCTCAGTGAAACATCAAAGCTAATTAGATTATAACTCCATCAAGAAGATGACTTCACACCAATGTCTGTGTCAAGAGCATACTGACAAGTTCAAAATATATAATAATAGCAAGATAATCCTGACTTGCCTGGGAGAAAAGCAAAATTATTTTTAAACAATTAAGTCTAGGACACTGGTGTAAACTGAAGCAAAAAATTAAAAATTAATCATTGTAAATCAGAATAGTTGCTACACAAAAAAATAATTACAGTATAAGTGATTGGAACTGACTTTTCACCAAGAATAATCACAATTAAGAAAATGATAATTTTTATATTTCTTCTGTTAAAACTGATAGCTCTTTAATCACCAGCTGAAGTGAGAACTTCAGAATGTCCACATGGAGTGTGAACAAGTTTTGTGGCTAGTACTTATTCAGTATCTCTTAAACTCTACGTGTTGATTCACTTTTGAGTTATGCTACTTTTCATAGATTACAAATGACAAGTCCAAATTGAGTCACTGAAAAGGTCATTGGAGAAATGATTTTGATTATCAAGTGCTGAAACTACTAACATATAGGTATAGCCTTGACAACTATAAAAAAGAATTTAATCCTTCAGTTTTAAACCAGTTATCTTTTTTTTTTCTTTGGTGTATGCACAATAGAAACTCCTCACCGGATAAGTATATAAAACAGGACCTAGATATTTTATTTTACATTTGTTATCATTCTCCTATTCACAATAAAAATCAAAGAGAAAAAAAAAGGTTAAAAAGATTACGAAAAAGAAAATGGAAAAGTTAAAGGAGAAGAAAAAAAAAAAAAAAGAAAATGATACTTATCTATTGTAAACATTACAAATATATTCAAGATAAGGAAAAGAGGAAAAAATAAATAAAACCTGGGTTATAAAGAGAATAATTAGAAAATAACAAAGGAAATAGTAATTGGTAGACAATGGATGACATTTACCTGTACCAACAGACAGCAGCGACAATGATGCCCACCAATCCAGCAACACTGCAACCAGCCACAATTCCTGAAAGAAAAAAATTAGTATATGATTAGAAATGGCAAATGATTTAGTCAAATTATGAAAAATTAAAACATAAAACTGCATTTATACAATTTCTATTGAAACTATAATCATCAGCATATCAAATCAACACATGAGAGCTGAGAAGAAAGGCAGCATATTGTCTAAACCAAGTTCCTCAGCCAAAAATCTGATTATTGGAGATGCAATAATTGAGTAGAAATGCCAGATTTGTCTGGAAGTAAATAATGCAATCAATTCTTTTTGCTTGAACAATGCTGTAAAGACATAAATTTAGCCAATTTAATATTTATGATATTTATTTTTAAATATAAGAGACTCTTCCAGTACAATGTACAAAAGTTAGGCAACTTTGAAATAAACAGCACAAGAAATAAATTTTCCATATAATTTAGTTACATTTTCTCAGTTAAATTTTACATTTTTATAAGAGAGAGAGAAAGGAATATAATAGTTGTACTAAATATTGTGAATAAAGTGATATTTTTATTTGTTTAGATTTTAAACAGTAATGTAATAAATGAGGAGTTTTGTATTGTCAGAATATATGATGACTTATTAATTGATATTTGATATTTTTCTAGATATAATATTTAAGATCAGAACAGGATTTACTTGTTTGTAAGAGTAAAAAAATAATAAATATCAAATGATTAAAACATTTCTTTTACTCAACATGAATAAAATATATATCTAAAAATGAAAAACCTGTAATGATTCATAATCCCAATTTTCCAACAGTCATCTCCTCTATCTATTTCTTTCTCCCTGCTATATTATCAGGCTGAAGAAAAATACAAAGAAAAAGATTCATTTGTGAGATTGGTCAAAACAGGTCTGAGTAATTGGAGAGAATTATGGGGAAAAGGGATAGAGAAATTCCTTGAAGTAACACTAAAGGAGATGCTGAAGTTATTAAAGCCAGTAGAGAATTGAATGACAAATTGAAATGAGAGAAGAGAGTACAATTTGGAGAGATAATTCAAAGACCATAATGATGTTAGGTACTTTAATAGTTATTGCCACCACTATAATGGCAATATGGAGGCTGAAAGAATAGGAAGAAATCAGTTAATTCGCAGGTGTTAGCGAGTAAGCATGAGAAAGAGAGAGGGACACCATTTAGTGTTCTTTAGTAAGACAGATCGAATTTGGAGACCACTATCAAAGGTAAAACAAAACCCACTAATGTGGAAGCAACTACTACGAACAAACCAGAAAAAGATAAAAAAAAATGTATCAATCGAAACAAAAGGGGAGTTGCAAGCCCCAGGTTGAATGATAAAATTGAAAAGCAGAGGTGATCATGAAGTGGAAAAGAAGGACCTTTTAATTCTACTTCATGTTTAGTAGAAACATTATGCATGGAGAACATTTTTGATTAATTTTTTTTTCTTTCTTTTCTCATCTTAGAGAAGGTGGTGTTGAATGTCATATACAAGTAAATGACAAAAAGGGAAGGGAATGATGTGGCACTGAGGCTGTGACGTGGTTAAACATTAATTCTAAACAGAAATTAAGCCCAAAATGAAATATAAACTGGAAGATAAAGAGATAGAAAGACAAAATGAAAAACATTTTTGCTAGTAATATAGAAGTGAAGAAATGGCCATCTGAGTTGTCTCACCCCTATGAATTGGAATGATGTGCCAAGAGTTTACTTTTTTTTTTTTTATCTATCAAAAATCTGGCATGCAGGTAAAGCAAATTGGGAAATGGCTTTATTTCTTTCTTGGGGAATAAGAAAAACACATGTCACTGGTGAAAAGAGAAGCAGATGGGTAATTATATTTTCTTTAGTGAAAATGAATTGAGAAATGAAAATAGAGAATGAAGTCACTGCGAAGATTAGGATTATGGAAATTGATCCATCATAACAGGCAGGTGATCTGTTTTATGTTTTCGCTGGACAGGTGGGTCCACAAAAGGAGTCAGAGAATTGAAATTAATGAGGAGAATAAACTACACCCTTTTTTCCTACACACTTCAAAAATTAGATTTGTCACAAAAACAGGTATGCCAGCCATGAGAAGTGGGTAGAGTTATAACACTAAGAAGAAAGGAGAAAGGGGCAAAATTTAGCCCCACCTGTGCAAAGTAGCGGTGCAAGATGTGAAGTGAATCAGGTTGGAGTTAAGGGAAGAGCAATCTCTGTGACTACTCCCAAGAAATGGGGATAATCCTCCAAATTGGGAAAGATGATTAAGAAAGCAGAAATAGGGAAGTAAGAAAATCTTTATTAGAATTAATGAAAATTAGGGAATCACCGAAAACCCAGAACCCCTTGTACCCACACTGTTTTTGGGCCAAAGTGCATATAAGCAGATGACTTTGGGGAGCTTGGAGACTTTGGGCTGAGATTCCATATTAAGTGCCTCTGAAATCCACATCAGCTGCCAACAGATTTCCTTAATTCCAAGACTTCAAACCCAGTCCCTCCAGAAGTTTAGACAATGCCCAGTGTCACTATAGTGATTGATGCAAGAAGGGTTCATTTTTGTTGTACCAAGAACTATATAAACTAATTGAAAATTAAATTGAATCTCTTGTTTTATTTTCCATCATGAAGATATCTTTTTCTTTAATATAGCACCTACCACAGCTTGAACCAGCACTGCAAAACTACAACCTTCAATTTTCCACTGCTCTGAGATCAAAAACATAGCATGGCAGACTTGGTGTGGATCAGAGCAGCCAGCAACAAACAACCAGCTTGGACCAGCATCAGAGTTAGCCCCATGGTTAAAACATTGTTCTAAGATACTGAGGACTGGACAACTAAAATGTGATAGTACCACTGGGTGTAGGCAGCAGCAAAAGGTGTTATAAATGATACAAAACTGCATCTCTGATCTACTATTCCCACATTCAGATTTTTCATATTCATTTTTTTCTGGATCAATATGGAATAGTGTTTGTGGTTTATTCTACTATTAGCCTACAATCTCCTTTAAAACCATTGTTACGGCTAAATATAGGTAAAATAAGTAAAACAATCTTTCAAAATCCTGGATAAAATATTCAAAGTGAAAATGATCTATAAGGTCATGTAAACTAGTTAAGGAAACACCCAAATTTAAATTGTCCTCTTATAATTTTTGTCCAAACTAAAGGACATGCAAATATTTGTGGTGCAGCTGTTACTGTTTGTAGAGAAACAACTAAAGATATCATTTTTGTTTTATTAGCAGTAAGATTAATATTACAGGAAAACAAAGGAGAAAAAATAAATTTCTTAAAAAAAAAAAAAAAAAAATTCATAATTTTATTTCATTTTGCAATTGTTAAAATCTATCACCAGTTTCTGAAATACAATGGCTCACCATTAGAAAAAGCATCTATTAAGAAAGATTTTTAAAAGTTCATAATTGATCAACACAAGTACATAAACAAAAAAGAAAGATTATGTAAAATAATCTGTTTATCAACCTCATATTGTTTTTTATTACATTTTGATAAATGATTTTTTTATATCAACTTATTGGTTTTGATAGCATGAATCATATTAATCTTCTCACAAATAATGGAGCTAAGATTTTAAAAATACCAATGTCTCTTACTGTTTTCACAAACATAAATATGTATTTGTTTTCTAAAGATTAAACATTCATTTTTATAACAATGTAATATATCTTATAGTAATAAATGATCTTTCCTTAAACAAATTGCCATTAACATGCAGGTTTCATAATTAACAGTTATCAGAATTAGTAAATTAATATAGAAATACCTCCATGCACACATAATAACATGGTTAAAAAACAGAAGAATGACTAAAAAAACACATTAGAAGAGATCAAGCATCACAACAATGAATGAATGAATTAAAATTCTATTGTGAATTTTATTAGCATAAAGGTAACTACCCAATTCCCTCTTAGAATCAATATATGAATTTAACAAGGTTCGAATACTTTCATAATTAAAATATTTGAGAGAGAAATACTTTAACATATCTGATGGCTTCATAATTTAACTTCATATAATTTTTACCAACTTGGAAAAATTCAATTAGGTAATATCCATTTTGTCAATAATAAAGGCATAAGGAGCATTGTGAAAAAGGATAAGAGGAACATATATGTAAGGACTGGCTTTCTTCATAAAAAGGCTTTTAGATAGTATGGCAGTTACATAAAACCAATTGTATTTGAGGTCATTTGACTCAGCTGAATTCATTTTGAAACTAGTGAGAAAAACAGGATCAGTCAAAGTTATATTATTCCAGCCTAATCTTAAAATATCAAATATGATTAATCTGTGTCTTAAAACACTTCAAGGACACAAGAGTTCCACTTCTTTTTGAAAAATATATTCTCAAATCTTTTCACAATATTAAATAAATTCTTTTGATATTTTTTCAGAATTTTAAGCACAACTTTCAGAAATGTTTGCTCCCTAAGTATCAAATATTGCAGTTAGTAATTGATATAATTAATTAGTTTACAGATAATTGAATTATAAAACATGTCTTTTGGGCGTAATGGGAGGCCTTCAATGATGTTTAGGTATCTTTTCTGTGTAAAATGTTCCTTAATTTTTTTTTCAGAACTCAAATTTACTTTCCTCTTAAATGAAGCTAATCAAGGTCACTGATCTCATCTTCTTCTGACTGAAGAAGAAATTAAACAAATAGAGCAAAATATCATTTGCATAATGAGAAAAAATGACTTTAAAAATGGATTCTTGTGCAAGCATAATTGGATGAGCCATAATTGGCAAGTAATGAATTTTCTAAAAAGAAAACTGACTTAAACATATATCTACCAATATATAAGATAAAAAGGTAAACTTTTAGATGAGCAGCACCACTTAAAGTTGGTATACTATTTGATCATCATGGATTTTAGATGTACAAAGGGTGTTGAAAAATATTCAGCTCGAGTAATAAAGAAAAAAATCCTGATGTTGGTCATTTAGTCAGAGTTTGGGCAGTGGATCAGGCCAAGAACTTTTCAGTATTCTTATAAGCAATAATTAAA